CTTTGTATGCAAGGTTATAAACGGGATATACACACGAAATAAAAGTGCACAAAGATTTAACGACCCTTTTCCCCGTCCCCGTTTACCATAAATGCCGGCGTGAATCCGAAAGGAATAAAATTCCGTTTCATTTCTCATCCGCGCCGCGCGAGTTCTCTCGGCCGAGATCGCAGTATTTTTTTCGAAGGGGGTGGCTCCGCACGACATTCCGAAAAGGTCGCATTTTCGCGAGAGAAGAGAGCCTGGTATCCACGCGTTATTACGCCTCTAGGAGGTACAACACGCTCGAGGCATATGCGGGCCAAGCTTGTCCCCGTTCCCCTCCTCTTTCGTTCGTAGTTTCGCCCGTGGTTCATGTATTTATGCATTTCCGCCCCAACCGCCGCTTCTTGACTAGACTCCGGCTCACGCACGCGGACCAGGGCATTGTGCGCCAGACGATTTACATGTATTGCTCCTCGATGATGTGCCGTAAAAGATGGCCGGGACGAGGGGGACGAACCCGCGTAGCCGTGGAGATAGAGAATTGCTTTTAAATTAGCGACACGCAGTATCTGTCCGTTTTAATGTGATTTACCGCGCTGATACGAGTTATACGATTGCGATATGACGTAACTCGAATTCTTAGAAATTCGTTGCATAATTGTTGGTGGTTTTACAAGCCTTATGACGTAACTGGACAGTGGATTCTACGTGTTTATAATACAGACAGGATGGTTCACCTAATGTGACCACCTCAATTACTTGTAAATTATTGGCTGTATGAACAGAATATTTAAAAAACAAATGTAGCGTGGTAGCATGGGGTACATATATGTTTCTTCCTCATCTTGTAAAACCAATTGTAGAAATTCTCTAGATTTTGTAATTATAGCAGAAATAATGATAACCTTAATACGTTGAACCATTCATTTCCACCAACCGTATATTACAAGTTCATGGAAACCCTTAACTCAGAAAACTAGTTTCCCCAGTCACATCCACTTACATTTTATATACAAAATGTTGAATTGCTCGAACATACATAATCATTCATAATTTTCAATGAGAATAGTGATTAAACCAAAAAAATAAGCTCCTAAAACCTTCGTTATTTTACTTCTTCGCTAAATGTATATTTAGAGATAAATTATGGCTTAAAATATCATTATGTATTTGAGAAATTGGAAACAGTCAACAAAATTTCCATGTCACCTTATACAACGAGCTATTTGCAGCGTGGGACAAGTAAACAATCATCGAGTGAACTGCGGAGAAGATAATTAAATAAACTTTAATTCCTGCAGCTCGCGTAAACAGTTACACCACGAAAGTTAAATCATTTCCCCGGTTACAGGTTTATAATTAATTGCTACGCCGCGAACAATTAATTAAAACAAGCCCGGCGTTTCTAGCTCCTATTATCGCGGGTAATTGAATCGAGCTCCGGGACGAATATTATCGTGAAAACTGTTATCCGAATTTTCCGGATAAACTGGAAACCGCCCCATAATACGTGTGCTGTAACGTCGATGTAATTTTCATCCAGCGGGATCTCGTCTTCTGGCGAACGAACGGATCCCGTTGGTTGCCTTTCATTATTCGGCCCGCCATATTTACTCATTGAATTCAATTCGGATTCACTTACGGTATGATTTACTCTGCGAAGGCGTACCTGAGGATGGTGATGGGAATTTATTGGAGACGGAGGCCTTCCCGAAAACCGGGGGGAAGGAAGATGCGGACCGAAGCGTGGCAGGGCGGCGAAGAAGGGGTAGGGGGATCGAGAGAAGAGTCGGGCAAAAGGGACAACGGGCAACGAAGGGAGAGGAAAGTAAAGGGCGTACGTCCTTTTCTCATATTCTGTATCCTATATGGTAGTACGTGAAAGTTACAGGAACATCTTTTCGAAATTTAGATTTACTGTACCCTTTCGTGTTTTCTTCCCTATCGTAACATATTTCGTTATTTCTACTCTACCATATAGAACATTTAAACGGTTTGTGTTACCCATTAGTCATCGTTAAGTTTATATTTTACACTGTTTTCCTTAAATTTCTATTTGTTTCTATGATAGAATTTGAATTCAATTTTTTGAAGACATACAGAATAATGAATTTTTAACCAGTAACGTACATAACATAGAATTATTGAATGTGAAAATTTGAATGATTTAAACTGAAATGAAAAATTTAGTTACTAGATATACTGTTCCAAAAGATATTTTTTAAATAAACTCGTCGGGTCAAGGGGAACGTGGAAGATCGGAACCTTTTTTAGGGGATGTTTCGACAATAGGCGTCTGTCCAGCACTACGATGGTGCTTTGAATGCGTAGGATACTGCTTTATTGGAGGATGCTGAATTTTTATTCGCGACCCCTGGGCAAATAGAGGCCATATAGACCCATCCGGCATAGTCGTTTTTTAAAATGCATGCCGTCCTTAAATCAAGCCAACAATAAGTGTGTCCAGTAAATGGACATGGTTGATCGGATCTGGAATATTTGTTGCTTCCTTACCCTCCGCCACGGATTGCGCTCGGAACTGTCGAATCTGCTGACTTTCCAAACTCATATGGCAAGAAACTACAGTTGAGAAATACAATTGTAAACTTTCGCAAACAACGTTGATTTCTGAACTATGCAAATAAATATAAAATTTACATCTTAAATAATTCCCTCCTTTTTTTATTCGCGTCGCCTGAAGGAAATTTACATAAAGTTCAAAGCAGTATGAACAATATTTATTCGCTCACTCTTGTTTATTCTGCCCTAGTAGTTTTGATTTATTCAACTCTTTTTTACTCTATTTTAAATATCGGAATAGCGACTGCAAATATCAAAACGTGGAAGGAAGCTGCGTTACTCGCCAGCAATTTACGCGTGGAGTGAAATCTGGTCGATCAACAGGGGTCTCGGAACGCCACAGGCCGAAGTTGCACAGGGAGGGGTTGGGAGTGGGGGGCGGAGGAGAAGAGAAGGACACACCCCCCGCGAACTCGAACATGAATTAAAGTTTTAATTTCTCTAAATCACTGTTCGCCCTCGAGCGCTTTCCACCAGACGGTCCGTTACTTATAGCCTTTGCCCTTTTTACCGCCTTCTTTTTTCCCATTCGCCTCGATCTTACCACCGTTCAACCCTCGCCAATCGGGAGAAATCGATATGCACTTATCCGATGACTCTTGAGACCCCTCTGTCTTTTTTTTTTCTCTCCGCAGGCATAACAGTCAGCGATCGTTCCCTTGATGAGATTTAAATATTTCAGGCCAGAATTATCTTCAACGCCACTCGAGAATCGCTTAGATTTAACTGATACGTTAAAATCTACTTCACTTAAGAGATCCGAAATTAACAGTCCAACTGGAATTTTAAATTCAGTCGCGGAATACGCTGATAATAATGTAATCCTCTACAAATGATCCATGGGTATCCAGACACAGTTGCAGAAGACTAACGCAAAAGGTTTCTCACTTGGCAATATTGGGAACTATATTACTAGTGAAATCGCTTAGAGGTACAAAACTGATCACCCTATTTAAAATAATTGTATAACTTCTACATTGTTAGTTTAATAATTTCTAAACCCTATTCAGAAGCCTAATCTTTCGGTTCTACAGTTTTCTAAAAGATGAAACTCGTATTAGGAAATGGTGGTTCTAAGTGGGGTGTAAATTAAAATCTCCCGTGGAAATGTATCACAATCGGTCCGAGGTCGCAAGCGAAAACTGGATCACAATTCGCGGCCGATCCGCCCTTTCCCGAGCGCGACAGGCCGGGGGATACGGCGGTTGTTCATTTAAAATCATGACGTCGAGCGTAGGGCGCAGTCACGGCGGAGGCGTTAGTATTAACGTTAGGTGCCGCCTGGCCGGGGCCACCTACAAGAACTTCGTACACCCCTTACCGCCCGGTGACATATTGTTTCCATTCTGCTCTCGGGCTAAAGCGCAATAAAAAACTGGCATAAATATCAGTCCCCCTCGCGGCGTCCCCGCGGCACCGATGCCACCGTCGAGGCGGTGGCCCGCGACACCGTGCCTACGCGCAAGAACCGGAAGCCCCTGGATGCCGACGGCGGTCTACAACCACGCGGGAAACGTTCTTTCGCGCGGGCGAAACGTGGAGGGACTAATTTGTCTGAGTGGCTTTTTCGACGGTTATAGAAAGGGCGCCGCAGATTGCGAGAGCCGAGCTATGATCTTCCGTTCTCTGGCGAATCGTTCCCGGAAAACCGAGTATTTATGAGCACGAAATTGCGTGTGAAAGAAATCGATTTCGAGTAATTATGGCGTGCACGTGTTTAATTAGATTTTACAGCGGAGAGAAACAGGAGATCGTTTTGAGTGGATGGCGAATGTCGAATTACGAATTGTTAGGAATTCTCTATGATGGGTTACAGAAGACTCTAGATCAAATATTTTTGGAAAAGTGAGAGAGACTGGAGAATTAATGGAGATATAAATTTACGACGAAGTTTGCGGCTAAATATGAGCGGATCTTTAATTATGTAATACTAGCTAGTGAATACTTCTACAGTGACTCATAAATTTGTTCACGAAGGGATGTCATTTCTAAATAGTTGACCGAATTATTTACCAAAATGCAAATTTTATTTCAAAAGTACGAAAAATGTATCACGAAAGTGTGATGAAATTACAAACAAGGAGAATATATAAATAGAAGTTGTATAATAACTTTTATACATGTTATTTTATAAGTCTGTGAACGAATATGTAAATCACAGTACATATTTCAGGCAGAAGTTGATAAACATTTCTAAATATGGTAAACACAAAGTTCAGATAAACTTCACACGATATTTTGAGCATGTTTTTTTCGTCTATATAGATAGCTAAGTAATATCGTTAAATTCACTACAATCTAGCATTCAAGGGGGTCATTATAACCTGCAATATTTGCCATTCCATAATTTTTTACTTTTTTTTTCATATAGTTTCTTGAATAATTCTATTACAGATAGAAGGTCTTTCAGGGATTTTAAGTTATATAGTACTTACAGCGTAACAGGTTCCTCAGGGCTCGAAGGTGAAACCGACATCGACATTGTGGTTGTTAGACATCGTGATGTTCCAGGCGATCTAACTCGATCATTCACCTAAAACAGAAATGAAATTACAATTATCGAGAACAGACAGTTTCTGTCGTACTATTATATCAGACAGCTTCAATATACAGGATGTGCGGCTATAGGTGTCAGAAACTTTAGGGGGTGATTCGACATGTTAAAATACAAATGAAAATCAACAATGACGAAGTTGTGTTAGAGGCTTTGTTTTCGAGTTATTAATAATTAACAATTCCGGTTAGAGACGTTTGAAACCAGACAATCTCCATACAAGCGATATACGCGACTGAAGAAAATACACTTTTATCTCATAGGCAAAAAAGTCGATTACCTTCTTCTGACACTTCATAAGAAAGCACACACGATATTGAACCTGGTTACTCGGTCAAATTCGTAAGGGAGACACAGCGAACACACACAGAGAATAAACACTAAATAAATTAAATTAATACTGTAAAAAATAAAATAGATGCTCTTCTAAGTAATCTTAGTGAAACTAAAATAAAATTCACTATAATAAATGAAATTAACACTTTAAAAAGTAGGGATGGTCTTCTACGTGGTCTATTTCACACCGACTAGACGTGTACGCGTTGACAGCTGTCACCGAACTACGGAAACGTTACTGAAGTCTTACATAAAGGACATCAAAGTAATAAAAAAAAGGTGTTTGGAACTAGGAATAACATCTTAAGGAGGTGGTTGAGCGACCGAAAGTATTGGGAGGCATTTCTGACCCCAATTTTTGACCGTCAATTGTACCTTAAAAACAGAACCGCCAACACAATTTCGTCATTCTTGAATGTCGTTTTATTTTGACACGTAGAATCACCCCGTAAAGTTTCTGACACCAGTGGCAAAATACCCTGTATATTCTCTGTAACTTTTTTGAAAATATGCTGACGCAGGAACAGATAACCTCGAATATATGATTCTTTTAGTCATCAGATTTTTTCACTTTCTTTTAAAGTTGAACAATAGCTGTATGGACTTTTTGTGATTAATTCATGATAACAGAAGTGTTCAGCGGCGCTCTCTGGTAGTACTATAATACCCATTTACTCGATCTTGCCCCAGGTTTCAACGCGTTTCACTTTAAACGATTATGCACACGATCTAACTGAAGAAAAATACATTGGAGACATTCCTCTGTGCAACTTCCGAATTCTTTGCACGATCCTTGCTGTCGTCGACGGGGAATTGAGCAACAGGTAGAGCAGATATGTCCTCGAGGCATCATGCTCGACAGAGCATACGCGTGATTTACCGTATAAGTGACTCATCGAAAGCACCCTTTTTTCTCTTATCTTCAGCTTTCTGCTTAGAACCGAACCTGAAGGAAATAATTCTTTTACCTAAGCGACCAGAGGTAGGGGAACGGAAGAATTTATACTCGAGGGTGGTATTCATGTTCTCAGATAAATTATCAATTCCACAGTAATAAAACTTGTCGTATGTTGCAATGCTGCTACATATTCCACTCCCTTATTTTGGTATTTCATATTTTCAAACAGTACCTTCTTTCTTCAACTAAGTACCTAAACTAGTAGCTAACATTTGTAGTTCTATCAATGGTACCTTACTCTCTGCAAAGAGTTATTTATAACGGAATTTCATTACTAATTAACCAGTTAAATTCTACCTTGAAATACAGTGATTCACAAGTTTATTCATGGACGGTTATCACTTCTAGTTGACCAAATTATTTACCAAAATACGAACTTTATTTCAAAATTACGAAAAATGAATTACGAAAGGATGATAAAATTACCAATAAGGAGAATATATAAATAGAAATTCTATAAAAGCTTTCACACCAAAGAGTTATTTTAAAAGTTTGTAAACAAATTTATATCACTGTATATGATATACTATTACATTTATTTGACAGTAGTAATTGCCAGATCAACTATAAAAGAGATTCCCATTCACATCCACTTGTATGCACTCATTTGAGAAATAATCGCAATAACGTTATGACATTGCGTAAGTTCTTAACGAGCCAGTATTCACAATACGCGAAAGCATTAATATCAACCTGATTATTCCTGTCAGACGAAAAATTCCCGTGATTCCCTTAATCGAGGGGCTCGTATCAAGCGTGCTCGCATCAGCGGGATGCGAACAAAATTCAGTCGAAATTGAGCGACCCCCCTCTCGCGCCGACCAAAGAAATATTACACCCATATTTTTCGCCTGTGAACGATGACTGAAGCTCGGTCCGCGATTTCCAAGGGATTAATAATGGCAGTAGACCGTTCTACGAGAATCGTAGAGCGAAACAAACGCAGCCCCGGGGCAAGTGGACCAGACTCACGCCGACATCAATCTGAACGAGCGCGAGCCGCGCCCCTAACGAACCACCGAGTCATATAAATTTTATTGCCATTTCATAAATCCCGGACAAGTGCCGCGAGTAACCATTCCGGGGGGGGGGGAGGCTCTCCGGGAGATTATCAGGAACATATAAAGTTGCGCGATCGTTGAGCGGTTACGGCGCGATTTTGCCTTTCGCGGACGCCCGCCGACTTTCGGGGGTGGCTGGTGGTGTTGCTCGCAAGAAATATCGCGAAAACGTTTGCATAATAGGTCGCCAGTTTTCATTGCGGATCGATTTTAGTAATCTATAACGGAAGATTTATTTATCTGTTTCCGAAGTGCTTCTTAAATATTGCCGTCAAAACGATCAAGTACGTCGTTACTGTTCAACCGTGGGACTGAATTATGAGTTTGTAATCCCAACTGCGGTTTAATTGTCCATATTTTCTCCGATTCGATGATAGCGTCAAATTACGGTAAGTTTCGACAATCACTCCCGAGAATAGCTCTCGGGACTTGTGTCTACTGGAAATTTAGACATCTGACGGCTTTACTCTGGATTAATTTAAATTCTGTCTGAACTACTCTATACTATGGAATTTAAGTCTTGAGAGCAAAATTTTCATTGCTCGTATCTGTACTGTTACGAATTTTTTGTTATCTTGAAATCTAAATATTAGAGGAAGACCCCAACTGTCCAACTTCGACTTTAATGGAGCTTCATAAGATGGTACTATACAGGTACCTAATGATATATCTGAAATATAGGCATAGACACTCGATAATTTTAAACATATAAACAATTAAATATACGAACCTTATAAGTCAAAGTCCTCAAAGCTGCGTTGGCAAAGTAACACAAAAATAATTCGGTGAACGGGAATAGATTCCTGGACTTTCGATTTCCCAGCGAAATAATCTTATACTTCGATAAGTTTGACTTACATTCATAGTAGATCTTAAAGTTACGTAATTTCAATTGTTTATATCTTTAAAATTATCGAGCATCTACATCTAATATTATACACATACCATTACGAACCTCTGTACTACCATCTTACAAAACCCCGTTAAAATCGAAGTCGAACAGTTGTGATCCTTCCCCTGTGAGTGTACGTTACGTCAAGCGGTTTTTGGAAACTATTACGAAACGTATCTCCATGCCGTATGAAAGATGCATTTCGATCTGGAAATGTAAATACAAGCATAAAATATGACGCGAGCAAAACCGCTACGAATGGAAATTGCGGGATTATGTTTATAATAAATAAGACAGAAAAGTCTGTACGTGGAAGATGGAGACCGGGGCCACAGTTAATTCAGTTTTATACGACAACACTTCCGATCCACGGTAAGCCGGCGACAGTCTCGAGTGCCTTCCCTCGCGGTTCTCTTCATCTTAACGCGAAGACGAACCAAAACCTGATTTACATTTCTTTCTCTCCTCGCTATAAAAATTCTGCGACGATAACTTCCTTTGTTCCACCCTCTATGGTCGTAGAGGCGAGCAACCCCTGCGGCTGGAAAGCCACGGGGAGTCCCCATAACCCCGACTAGTTTTTCGGTTTACATTACATTTTTTTTTTCCTTAATTAAAGGCATTGCGCACTCGGGCCTGTTGGGAACCGCCCTTCACCTCACTCGAGGAAATATATTAAGCACACGTTTGTTTTTTTTTAAATATTCAATTGAAATTCTTGAGAAATGCTATTGTAAAATACTTAGGGTAATTAGATCGTTTTTTCTCCTGCAACTTCCTGATTGAATTTAAATAAAAATCTACTGCATAAGTGATGAATAAACTGAAAAGATTATTGAAAAATGAAAATTCTTTGTGCTGTTATTTATTGTAATTTTCATGAAACGTTTATGTTCATTTGGTGTTTGAATACTGAATTGACAAAGGCGCATTGTGTTTCAACACAAGTTGTGAGATAATTCCTAAATAATACGTCTGCTTATGACATGACTATATCTACTTCTCTTTATATTTTTCAATCATCTTTCCGTATCCTACCATTTTGAGACATATTGTTGTAACTAATAATACAGTACCACAGCCTAGATCTACAATCATTAACAGGAACCGGCTCAAAATCTGTGTCGGCAAAGGTGACATCTCCCTACGAAAAATATACCTGAAGACCGTATCAACTACAACCTTTTCACCGCACAATTCCACACGAACACCTACAGAGTACAAATATGTATATACATATAATCGTCGAACCTTGTGCACCTAAGAAGCAACCAGTAGTCAATCGAAGTTGATGATCGTCCATGCATCCACTGAAATCACGTCCACAGGATAAGCAGGATAGGTAGACAAGGAGAGAGTGAGGGAAGATAGGATCGAAATGTAATTAAGAGAGCAAATAATCCGAGCCGAACAAACTCCATGAAATGGATCAAAGAACTCGAGGGGGAAGCGAGAGGGAACGAGAGGTTGCAGGAAGTGGGAAAGAGAGAAACGGAGGACATGTACCGATAGAGGCGCGTTGCTGAAAGGTACCAGGACGAACTACGACCGACTGCTTCTCCCTGTCGTCGTCCTGTCTAGCCCGAAGGAGTAGGGCAACAAGGGGGAGGGGAGATGGGGGAGGGGGAAGGCCTCGGCAAAGACCCTCGATAAATATTTCCGTCAAGTGACCGGGGTTGGAATTCAAAGAGAGCCGAAAGGTGGAATCGAGAGCGAGACGAGTCCATCCTCTCTCTTCACCGGCAGTTCAAGGGACGGCCGACAAGGATGACGACGACGACCAATGGGGATGGGGTAGAGCCAGGCAGCCAGTATATTTGCGTTACGTTACGTAGTTGCGCGTTTAATCAGCCGTATACCCGGAAAGGGCGCGTGTGAGAGAGGGAAGAACGAAAAAGAGGGAACGGAGGGTGGTGGGAGCAAAGAGGAACCGCTTCGACTTCCGGATACTAAAGAAGGACGGGGGCTAAACATCGTCCTACCTTTTGTGACCAGCAAAGAGACGAGATTCTGTTTACAGCCGGACTGTCGTCCTCTGCATCGTCGTACGGCTACTTTCACGGAACAGATTGTCGTTTGCTAAGCTCGTTCTTCTTTATATTCCCGTTTGTTTTTTTTCGCCGCTCGGAAAACCTGCACTGTTTCGAGATTTTTTGGGATACGCGTGACTACGAGCCGCGTGTGTCGTTTAACAGTTTCTTTGGATTTACATATTTGGACTTTAAATATAAGTTATAATTCTAATGTATATACGTTAAGAATACTGACGAAATTAACTGGAAGGAAGTATTTAATTTTTAATAAGATTGCCTCAAGATGAGATCAATATGTAGTGATGAGTTGGAACAGTTTCGGAAGGATTAGGATGCACCCAAAATAGCCTTGAACGTAATCTTGAAATAGCTACATTTTTATATTGTTTTCCTCTTATCTCAATATCAGTTTTATAAGGATTAGTATGCGCCCAAAATAATTTCAAACGTTATCTTGGAAGTATTACATTTTTATATCTTTTTCTTCTTATCTTGATGTCGACTAATATTCTGTTGGGTTGTAACAATTTTTTAAATAGATTCTTGATACTTTGCTACCGTAGTTTTGTAGCAGAGAGCAGAAGAGGAATGGAACCGAGGGAAAATAGAAGAGGTGGCGCCTACGAGACGTCGATGGCGTGACAGATTGCCTCCAGTATTTTCCACCACATATATCATCGGCATCCGCCAACCCTTAGTTCTAGTTCAATGCTCACCACCGTCGTCTCCCTTAATTGGCATCACCTATACCAATCTACCTGTGTCGTGGCTCAGAAAATTTCCTACCGTAGCCAATTACAATAGATTATATTATATTTACACGGGTGTTTCTGTCAAATGACATGTGAGGCAATGTCGACAAATTTTTTTATCATTTATCACTTACTATCCATCACATCAGAAAATGGTCTAATAAATTTTGTACGAACTTCTTTATTTCAAAATACATAGT